ACAAGCGATTACAAACGAAGTAAAAATTGTAATAAATAAATTAAAATTATAGCTCATGGGTGAGGGAAGAAAGCCAAATTCGTTGGTTAAATAGAAAGAATGGTTAAAACAACATTCACTTAAGAGGCAGTCGTCTGCCCTGAGTGAGCCTGGAAATCTCATGCAATCCATTGTGGGAAGGTAAGTGTCTGCTCGTAGAGTTGAAGCTTCTTGGAATAGAAGTTAGCAAGAGATAGAGAGAAAGAGAGAAATAGAGAGAGAGAGAGAGAGAAAGAGAATGGAGCGAGAGGAAACATTCGATAGAACCTTTTCTAGCGCACGCCCATTCGCTTCCGCAAGCTGGAAAGAGGAGCCCCACGCGTGCAGGCTGTATGTGGTAGCAGAGGGTTCGTCAAGACCCGCAGCGCGTCGGAGGATAAGATTAGTCAACGAGCAGCAAGAGTCGAACGTATGAAAGGAAGCGCCGGCTCTTCTCTTCCTCTCTCACGCGCGACGAGAAAGACGACGGACGTCCCAATTGGTTAATGCAACTTACTGCGTTTGCCCATGGGACTTGTCAAGACGCCAAGATCCTAACCAAGACTTCTTTTGCTCTTCGTCTCCTTCTTTCTCCCTATTACTGTACCAACTAACGCTTGACCATTTTTCTCAATAATTCGACGTATCGGATTTCCCTTTATTCAATTTTGTGATGGCACAATGTCTTTGATTTTAACCTCGAACATTACCCTCCTATTTTGCTTTTTCTCTCTTTGTAAACTTGAGGCTTCGCTCGAATTCAATAGAACTATCGCTGTACGCGTGAGCGGTGTGAATTTTTCATTCACCGCCGAGCTGGGGACGACGAAAATGCGTTGTGAAAATATGTTAGTTTACCTTTTGACGGAAAACCCAAGACATTAATCAAATTGACCAACAACGTGCAATCGCGTATAGCAGAAAAATGTCATCAAGGCTCGGGTTGTATCCGAGCGAAAAACACATCTGTCTTGTGCTCGTGTGCAAAGAAAAAAAACCATAGTCAACAGATCATCGACGCGACTCTTTCTGCTATGCAGATAAAGTGCGACAGCTATGTACTCGCGCACGTGAACACACGCACGGCACAGGAGGCGAAGTTTGTCGTGCTAAAAGGGACATTTACGTGTGCCGTCGGTTCGAGTCTCGCTTTATCAATAAGCGACAAATCTGAAATCGGGGACAGCCAGTACACAGTAGTAAGGCCAAAGGTTTGCTGTAGTACATATACACACGCGCACGAAAAACGTCGCGCAGCGCCGAGCGTTTTGCACGAGGCGCCTATTTATTAAGCCGGCCTGTTACAAGATTTCACCTGTAGTATAGGGCTATTTTTCACGTGTAAGTCGAGCGACTCTGCGCGTGTGTATGCGGTTATTTCTATGGACTTGCTTCGCTACGTAAGTTCGTTTGCGCTGCAAAACGGCAAAACAAACCAGAGACGGGCGAGCACAGTGCAGCACGAAAAAGAGAGACAGATCGACAGCTGAAATTCTGGCGCTGTTTTTGCGAGATATATTATGGCACATGCGTCAGTTCTGCATGGGTATATGTGTGATATATTTGTGTGTATGTTTGCTAGCAGCGGTCTCTCTGACTCGCGATACGGCGGGAAATATCAATCAAGCGGAGGGCCTGGAGTCGTTGCACATAGCACACGCTCGCGCACAGCACCAGTCGATGTTCGCTCTGATCTTACCTTTGCCTCGCACGCGCGCGCGCCACAGCTTTTACGAGATTAATCGTGCGGTGTAAATAAAAGCCAGTACAGCCGAGGAAAAAAAGACGAGGATATAGACGAACAGCATAATAGAATTAGTTTTGTTACATCTAGCGCCTGGATTACTGACGTGTATGAAAAAAGCGGGCCAGGCTAGGAAATTCCATCCTATTTTTACCTGTTTGGTATTGTTTATCGAAATTCCTAAAAAATATCAGTTTGTATGACCCGGACAGACATCTAGTTCCCCTATCAACGAGATTCCAATGATTAAAAAAATGCGCGTTCCACATCGGTATTTCATTTTTTATCAAATATCAAATGGAATAAAAATTCTTGTTCTGCTTTTATCTAAATTAAAAGCTCGATTTACATTTGTACACAGCAGCTCTCGACTGTGCTATTGCACAGCAAAGAGGTGATCATCTGTCAGCTAGGCACGCGTATAGAGTACACGCACACATTCGCGCATCTTATAAGACGGATCGCGATCTAATTGCAGGCAAAACCTCAGCGCCACCAATCTAACCGCGCCAACAAATTTATTGCTGAACTCTTCTTCAAAGTACCGAGTCCGGGCTATATGTACATTGAATTATTCGTTGCATAAATTTTGTGCGAACGTGCAGGCCAAGAGATAGAAAGAGAGAGAAAGAGAGAGAGAAGATATTCGCTGTAGCGAGTGAAAAAGAGACATGGCAGAGTGCCCGTAGTGCTTTTCTACAGCAGCAGCAGCGGCGGCGGCTCACTCTCAAGAGCTCGACGAATCTCGTTACCCAAGAGCAAGCCTCGTACATACTTTGTTACGAGCTTGAATTTATCATTCAAATCGTTTCACGGCTTTAGCCCATCGCGATTTTGTGGCTTAGTCGCGCGGTGAGTTGCGATTTCCACTCGCGCGCTTATAACGACTCGGCCGATAATGATTTACGAGCTGAGCTTTGCAATAGCCCCCGTGTATACACAGATCTTGTTGCGTTTATAGTGGAAAATACCTGCGCGCGAGCAGAGGCAGAGAAATTAAAAAGAAAGAAAATTAGCGTTGGAAATCCGCCTGGTTTTACGAGTCCTGACCTCGCATTGTTATTTTTGCTAATACCCGTAAAAGGGAACAGGTTATAAAGATACTTTTAAAAGGTACGAGCTTGCGAACGCGCGGCGAGTTGTGCGAGGCGTTACTTTTTGTATATGTACTTAAGCGATTCTTCGGCCGCGTTCGAGTGAAAAACAAGGGAAGAGAGAAAGAGAGAGAGAGAGAGAGTCGAAAACGGTCGGGGCGAAGCTGCTGATGCCGTATGAGCCGTGGAAGGTGGCTTTTTACAGCGCATAAAAGGGGACACCTGCACTACGTCTCATAAAAGCCGTTGCCTCGACTTTACGTCGCTGGTGCTGCTGCTACTGGGGGCGCGCGCTGCTAATCCAGAAAATGAGATCCTAGACGCGGGCTTCAATGGATGAAGAACGTTTCGGATTTCCGGACCGTCTCTTCGCCTTGCAGCTGCTGCTGCTTCTGCAGCACCGCGTCATCGTCCAACGACCTTGATCAATTTTATTTTTTTTCTATAGCTTTATATTCTTTATATTCCCTATCATAGCTCGCTTGGTTTTCGGAGTAATAAACCAGTATTCGATCCGATGTAGGCATTGTCAATGCTTTAGATGGAGAATGAATGATCGCGTATCTACCATATTGGAATAACTGTATCTCCGACAAAAAGCCACAGAGAAGCTACAGAAAAAATGTATTAATAAGTCTCTGTTGAAAGCACGGATTATGTAAAAAAAATTCCATTCATCGGTTCGATAATTAAAAATTTTTTGAAATCAAAATCCCAAATTCTAATTTCTGATACGGGCATAGTACGTTCAAAAAGTTTTTACTTAAGCTTAGGATAACGAAAAATGTCACAATGAGGCTCATTAAAAATCAAAAGCCAAATAAAAGTTGGTCAGGTGTTTGAGAATCGCTTTTTCATGGTCTCTTAATATCTCTCTTGTAGCTAATTTGAAGTATTTTTATGGATCTTATGTGATAGACAAGAGTAAAAATCTTATTGATCAATCTCATGTAAAAACCTCTTATAAATATTTGTCACTAAACAAATGATAGGGTGTAAAATTTGAAAAAAGAAAGATAAATCAAAAAACGCATTAGTAAAACGTAAGGACTAGGATGAAACAAGTTTATCAACCAACAGCGGAAAACAATACTCGAGGGTTGCGCTTTTCTCGAGGGAAAGTAGTTGAAATTATTCCGGGGTATTTAAACTTATTGTGCGTTCTCAAAACGCGACGGCTCAATACAGCAATAGCATGAGAATGAAAAGAGTGTGTATATGTAATATGCATCATTCTGCGTTTGAAAATGAAAGGAAAGCCTTTACATAGCGGGGCATTTACCATAGCTCCAAACAGCGTAATTTAACTCGAAGCCGGGACAAGAGGGGAGAGGGTGAGGAAGCGAGAAAGGAAAAGCGGGAGGGAGTAAGAGGGAAGAGATCCAAAACTACTCACTGGAGCAAAGCTGCTGCTGCTGCTGTTGCAGCTGCTGCAGTATACGCGCAGTTCGTGAAAGGCCGAAATAACACATAAACGCGTATCCCATTCAGCTAGTGGCTGTTGCGTAACAAGAGCGAGCGACTCTTGCATTGCCAGAATAAGCGACGTTTCGAGTTAGACGCGGGAAATTAAGCACGAAAAAACGAGAATGACAACGTGCCGCTCGCAAGCGAAAAATATAAAGGACCAGAGAAATAAAAACGGAGGGACGATGAAGGCGTGACGTTGAGGAAGAAAATAAAAGCGTAGCCGCTTCTGCTCCTGTTGCTACATAGCTGCTGGTACTGCTGCTGCTGCTGCTGCGACTGCCACTGCTCAAAAACGGCTAAAATGTAGGAAATGAGAAACACGGATGAGCAAGCTCTCGTAGACTTTCTCTGTTTTGACACGCCCCACCTCCCTCTCCATTTCTGTTTTGACTGTCGGCTACTGTGCACAACACGAGTAGTTAGAAACAATTTGATATTTATCAGGCTGCCCTGCTACACAACCCTTTGGCTTTGTGTATTTCTGTCTAGGCTGGGTGCGCGACAATGAAAAATTGATGGCCGGCCAAAAACCATATTCATCCTATTCCATGCTGCATTCATCGCATTCATAGCTGTTTACCTATTCATCAATTCGTCTATTCATTTATTTTGCATTCACTACGCTCACGCGACGCAACGAATTGTAAAATGATATTAATTCCTTTGAAGCTTACCTTCTTCGCGTCATTGTTATTGTCTGCTGCGTGATGAGGTTGGGGACTCATAGCTGCACCATTACTGACGGCACCACTTTGTGACAGGAGTTCATCGCTTCCTCTCTGAAAAAGACAAAAAATATCGTTCAAGAATGTGCGATTGAAAGTTATTTTTACAGTGTAATAGTTTTTTTTTGTCGAAAAGAAATAGATAAAACTTCAACTCAAAACCAGAGAGTTGATATCCTTATACAATACTGCGATAAAAAAAATAGTCTTGCAGTTTAATACTAAGCGTCTACGTTACGAAAACTTCATCGCTCGGAGACCGTTTGTGGATACATTGAAAATATATTCAAAGCAGAATATATTTTTGATAACAACTTCGAGACTCAGACATTGAGAATTATATATCCAGGGAAAGGCAAAAGGAAAAGTAAGAATAACATGCGAATATTAAACCTGCGTAATCCGCATGAAAGCTAGCTACATCGCAAAGTATAAGAAGTTGAGCCGAACCGTATGCGAAGAAGACGCATCTCCGGTCTCGTGCCGCCTCTTTCTCAGTCTGTCTCTCTCCATCTCTCTATATTGGAGCACGATTGCAGAAAGAGAGAGAGAGCTAGAATGGTTGATCAAAGAACGTCAAATCTGAAGATGATACCAGCTGTGCTGCAGCTAGCTCGCTCGCCCTGAGGATCTTATAAAAGGCGAACGTGCGCGCGGGCTCTAACGTAAGCGCAAGAAGCAGTACAGCAGACGACATTTTTCCCCGCTGCTACAACTACTACTGCTCCAATCTCTCGCTTGGACTGCATGTAATTTGCACGAAGGAATTGAGCTTGCAGCACGAGTAAAAGGAGAAGAAACGACATATGAAAAAGAAGGAGAAAATCTTTACTTTAACTGCTAATACTACTTCTGCAACTGCAGTGCTGCTACTCTTTCTCCTCTACCTTTACTCTACGGAAACGTTGGTAGTTAACAAAATATGTACGCGAACGACTCGATTTTGAGCCACTCAGACGAGAGAAACAGAGATTTCGCGCAGGCAAACTTGCTCCGGAGCTTTAGACTCTGGGACTCGAATTATTAAAAGCGAACGTAAACGTTAAGTCTCAAAAGGATTCTGAATTTCTGTATGAAAAGATTGTTGTATTAGAGACTGTTGAATAAATGTAATCACGGATCAGTTGAAAGGGATGGATCGCAGCATTTTGCTTCCTGCACACAAGAACCCCATCGCTCGCAAATTGGGTCAACAAGCCGATGAGAGAGTTACGTCAATACTGACTCGAAGTAATAGCAAAGGAATACATAAATTTATGCTTTGAGCCCCGGCGCAAGTTAAAAATATTTCATACCAGTTTCTTATTAAAAACGTTGGAATTAACTTTCAGTGTTGTGTGCCATAATAACACGCATCGATGTTGGCGTTAGATTTTTTTCCTCGATTCATCGTTTCTGCTTTCCACGTAACAAGTGTATCGGCTAGAGCTTGCGATAGGTTCCTCATTAGTGATTATAGATAAAGTATTGAAATGTTGATTCAACAGCAGTTTTGAACTGGCTCGTCGAACTATTCTGCAAATAATCTTTTTTCAATCTGACCTATATTTGACTATAGTCGTCTACGTATAATTAGCGGTTTAACGACTTTTTTTTGAAAATTCAAGTGTTACAAAAAACTACACATTGAAGTGCCTTTTTGTCGAGGAAAAGAGTTTCTCACCGAAAGAAAGAAAGAGTGAGGGACAGAAAGAGAGAGAAAGAAAGTTCATGAATATAAAATTGCTGCGTACGCAAGTTATACATTAAGGCGTACGAAATAAAATTTATTCCGCTTATTGTTATTCTCACTCTCAGTAACCAAGGCGAGAACTTTAGCCGAAGAAGTAAAAAAGACAAATCTCAGCAATTCCTCATTCCTCTCGTCTTTCAAGTAAATTTTCAAATAAGACGTTAGTCTACTTTTGCGAGAAAGAAAGAAGTTTCGTGCAAAAAAAAGAGAGAGCCCAGAGTAGTAAGAGACGCGAGAAAAAAGGTACATTTCGTTTTTTCACTTTTGCACATACGAAGTGTTATACGCTAGCCCAGAAGCAGCAGCCGCAGCCGCAGCAGCAACAGCAGAAAAGGAGCGCAAGTCGGGGAAAACTGAGGTCTTTCTACGGTCCCCTTGGTGATCCTTCGATAAGTTCGTGCTTACGCGGTTACGCCATTCGACCTCATGAATTTCAAAACAACTTTCAGATCGAACAACGCGTATGTCAGCCAAAAAGCGTCTAAATACGCTTTGAAAAAATATGAGCTGCGTCTCTGGCATACGCTACGTAGAGGGCGAACCAACTGCTGACGTAACACGTTCGCAAAAGTATTATATGCGCGCGAAACTGCCGTCATTATGAGTTTTAAGGGCATTAACAAATTGCTCCAAGATCGATCGGGTCTCGAAGATTGCTCGGATTGAAGATTTCTCTCGGCTGGGGAGGGAATCGTTTTGTAGCATCTCATCCGGTGCGGAAAAGATGTGTATATACATCAAAACATGGAAAACAGACAAAGTTATATGCGCGTTCAGTGAAACTAGCCAAAGAGAGGGCGAGAGCGAGAGAAATATCGAAGCAAGCTAGAAACGAAAGCAGCAGCAAATGGAGAGGAGAAATAGTTGGCAAGATTAATGGCTTACACAGCCGGAGTCGGGGAGAAGAGAGCGAGAGAGAGAGAGAGAGAAAGAGAGAGAGAGCTTCGAGGTATATAGACTCGAGAAGATACGCAAAGCAGTCGAATAAACTACTTCTCACCCGTTCGGCTTCGCGAGAGGGTGTAGGAGTAGAGTTGCAAGTTTTCCTCGGACAGCTTTGCAATCGGCCTAAAGTATAATTTACAAGACTCGGAGAATCTAGTCATGATCCCGGAGATGCGCGCTCGGCCGCGCTCCCGACTCGCAGCCTAGCAAAATACTTTTTTCGATACGTAAAACTCCTAAGGGAATTTTTTTCCACGCGTACAAGCTCTGCCTGGTCTGCTTTCGCTACCGTTTTCTCTCTCTCCCTCGCTCTCTGCAGAGAGCTGCTGCTCCTGCTGCACTGGAGCTAGCTGTGCGCGCGCGTCCGTGTGTGCACTTTCCCGTGGAGCATTTCTGGCTCTGATGTATGACTATATCGAGTTTATACGGCTATATTATGCGCAATTGGCGTCAGCGAGCCGCTTGCCCGCGTCGGCACACGGGCGATAAACTTCTCCAAACAGTTTGGATTACAAGCTATTGGCCAATGGCTTTGGCGCGCAAGCACACGCCACTATACGAGAACTGGACGATTGTTTGTGTGCGGCACACGCAGCGAGAGGCGTTAATACGATACATTTGCCACCTCTCGATCATTAATAAGAGAGAGAGAGAGAGAGAGGCGTAGTAGTATAACGCGCTGGGCTTACAAATCGAGGAACTAATTTGCTTCGAGGCATGCACGAGTCATAGGATGCGGCTAGCCATATTGCTTAATTTACTTTGAATTAAAGCTCGCGCGCACGCAGGCAAATTAACGACCGATAATTAACTTTATATCGCGGGTTTTTGCAAATAAACATCAGAAGAAAATCGATGCCGAGAGCGAACAAAAGTTCCACGAGGATCTACTCGAATTCTTTTCTCGCTGCTGCTTTTCGCACTCGTGCTCAGCTCTGCTGCGATCCGAGCTTTATTTTTGCTCTTACAACTCGCAGGTATTACATTCTATTTTCTTTACAGCATTGTTAATTACATAGAAAACTCTGATGAAGATGACATTACAAGAGTACTCGATATAATTACTTCATTATATAAATATATTTTAAAATTACACAGCGAAGCTGGAATACATTATCTTGATGATGAAGTTGCTTCAAGGTAACGCAAGAATTCCAGCAATGTTGAAACTCGCGAACGTAAAATTAATTATTTTATTCGCCGCGCGTGAAAGCGAAAACCGGCGAGTAAAGCTCGGGTAAATTTTATAATTAAACTTGTACTTTTAGCTCGATGTAAAAAAAAAAAATACCTGTGTAAAACAAAAATTGCGCGCGCGAAGAAGAAACGTTGTCAAGGCTCGATTAAGCGCACTCATAGTCGACGCACGCGTGCGCTCAAGTAGCTCGAGTACATGGCGACTGCCAATCACAACTTTGGGGTAAGCCTACGTGTGTATACACACGTATATTAACGTAGACCGAGCGAGTTTACCAGTCATTATTTGTGTTTTGACGGTAATAACTAGTATCCCCGTAAAAGCAACTTATGTATGTAATATGTATGTATATGTGGTAGAGCGCGGGCGAACACTTAAAGCACCAAGACGATCTATAGCTAGTATCAAGAAAACGGTCTAAGTTTCCAACAAGCAAGCTTAGAATATCTATGTATTTGCGTGACTGTGTATGTGTGTGTAGAGAGCGAAAATACTCAGCTTCAAGGGGCCTCATTTGTGAGATTACTTCGCCAGTTGGCTTTATATATAAATGAATATATATTCAAGTTGCAGGGTGTATGCTAATAAACGTGTTTATGTAAAAGAAGTAATTTTCAGCCTTCCTCTGTCTTTGGTTCGGATATATGCGTAATAATAAATGTTGACGATGAACATTTTTACATTTGGGTATAACGACCCATCATTGCTGGAACATTAAAGGGCGTGTATATAGCGGCGTGTTTCGCGCAGTTTCTGCCGCACTGGTCTATAGCAACGCACAGCGGAGTATACAGTTCTCGAGCTCGCTCGCTGCAGCTGTTGTCGCTGCTGCGCGGATGCGATAATACTTGCTTTACTCGATTTTCTTTGATCCAGCAGTACTGGCACGGGGAAGAGAGATTATGACGTCAATGATATAACACAAAAGCTGCGTTGTACCACAGTACCGAGTGCGAAGAGCTTTCGTCTCTCTTTCATATGCTTCACCACCTATACACACATAATAAGAGCTGAATGAGAGAGAGAGAGAACCAAGAAAAGCAAGCAATATTGCTGCTGCTGCTGCCGTCGCAGAGCTCGTCTCAGCTCATCTCGAGCTCTTGGAATGACGATAAAAAGTTGCTTCCATACTAGTATAATGGAGAGCGATAAGGAGACAAGAACTGCAAAAGTTTTCTT